CTGACTTGATATTCTGTTAAGCTCTTTATTATCAAGAAGTAACATAGATTTATATAATTAGTGAGAACTTGCACTGAGTACTTACTACTCTGAAGATAATATTATCAGATTTTAAAGAATTTAACAATTGCTAATATCTTCTAATTATAAATATTATATCTTCTCTACATAAGTGATAATTTCTTGAAGAAGAAGATTACTGATCTCTATTCACAGTATCTTATAGACTCTGTGAAGAAGTCTTCTTTTACAGATAATTTATTATCTGTATCTTCAGAGATAATTATTCTCTGATTCTTTTAATATTAAAAGATCTTTAATATCAACTGTGAAAAGATTTCACAGATCTCATTCTCAGATACATCAGTCTTACACTGACTGAATAAGTTAAGATTAAAGTAATTCAGTATTGTAATATCTGTAAAAGCTTGTTTTAATTCTATAAATATTTACACAGTGTCTTAAGTGAGAATAAACAGTTTCATTTTTCTATCTTTCACACTTCTCTTTAACAGATCTGTAAGAGAGACAGTAATCTATGAATATGTATAGATAAATCATCTGTAGAAATTCATGAATTCTAGAAATATCTATATCTCACAGTATATCTGCAGTACTAATCAGTTTTTAATAACAGAGACTCAGCTTCTATTCATTGAAATATTATTCATCTTAATAATATAATCTAAGAAATCAATCTCCTGCATGTAGAATGAGCATTTTTCAGTGTTTATATAGAGTTAATACTGTCTTAAGTAACTTAATACTTTTTAAACATGAGTATTATATTCTTTCTCTGATTTTAAGAAGATTAGAATATTATTCAGATATACTATATAGAAGACATTAACAAGGTCTTACAATGTCTTATTTATATAGATCTGAAAAATAGCTGAAGTGTTACAAAGATTAAAAGATAAAACAAGATATTCAAAATTACTATACTTGATATAAAAAGTCATTTTTCAAATATCATCTTTATTAACTCTAATTCTATGATAGATATTCTGTATATTAATTTTTGAGAACATCTTTGCTTCAGATAATTAATCAATCATCTTATTAATTAATAGTAATAAATAGTAATTCTTAACTGTCATTTTATTAAGGCCTCTATAGTCTATACATAGATGTAGTCTATTATTCTTCTTAGATATAAAGAGTATAGATGTCTCTGCTGAACTCTTTAATAAGTATATTCAGTTCTTTAATTATACTTCTTCAAGATATTTACACAGAATATTTAATTTCTTTATAAATAAGTTATAAAGAGATCTGTATAGCATTATTATATCATCTTCAAGATAAATCTTATATTATATCTTGATATCAGAAAACTTCACTACTTCTCTTTCTGAAAAGATATTCTTATAATCTGTAAAGAGATATCATGTATATTTATCTTCAATAACAGATACTGCTGCTAATCTTACAGTGAAAGTGATAACTTCTTCATCTATTTTCAAGTCTCAGTCACCTGCTATATAGTATATCAACTTAATCTTTTTCTCAAGATTCTTTTAATAAAACTCTTCAGATTTCTCTATCACTGTCTCTTTATTAGTGAGACAGTATCATTATATCTGAGTGACTCAGTTAATAAGAGAATTGTTTTCTCTTAACTATAAAAGATCTAAAATAACATTCTTATCTATAATATTAACTGTGTGAAGAAGCAGACTGCTCTTCTTAAAGATTTCTTCTAAGTCTATAATTACATACTTCATTTAAATTATATTAAAATAATAATATTTTATTTCATTAGTAAATTTCATATAATCTGACAGATCTATCTTCTTTTAACTCTTTATCAAAGAAAAGAAATAGAATATGAAATTAATATTTATTCTGAAGTTAAGTAGATATCTTACTAATATCTTCTTATTCAGAGTATATATTATAATTGTAATATAAACTCAGAGATATAAGAATTATTAATTCTTTATTTCTTTCTCTTCTTTATCTTCTGTGAATATATTTGTCAGAAGAGAAGTTAACTTTAAGAAGATATTTTCTCAGTTTCTTCTCTTCTTCAGCTTCTTATAATCACTGATATAGTAATTATCAGCTTCACAGTTGAAACAGAGATCTTTGTTAAATCTTTTTTAACATTTCTTCACAGTGAGTGAAGAATTAGAATACTTGAAATTTTTCTTTATTTTCTCTGCACTGAAGCTGTCACAGTATTATTTAGATTCTATCATTAATTACTTAGAAGAGATCTTATTAGTCTTTTTCTCAGAGAATTGATTATTTAAATAGATCTGAGAAGTCAGATTGATAAGCTTAGTATAATTAATTAATAAACTCTAATATTATAATATCATTATCTGTATCTTATAAGTCAGCTTTATAAAATAAAGCTATATTTTTAATTAATTCAAATTATCAGTTAATTTCTTTTAATATTCTTCAAATCTTATATTGAAATTAGAAGAATTCTCATTATCTTATTAATATAATAAGTTAAATCACTGTATTACTATAAAGTTACAGTTATGATAATCTTTAATTTAATTTAATAAAAAGTTCTTGAATTCTTCTTAAGTTATAGTAGTATTAATACACTTAAGCTCTCTCTTCTTAATAGCTTAAGTAGTCACAGAGATATCTTTAAAAAGGTTAATAATATATATTACTTATATCTTATAAGTATTATACTAACTCAGATTAAGATGAAATTTTCATTCAAGAGTACAGATAAAGCTGTGAAATTCAGATAAGATATTTCTCTTATATTTCAGAGAATCTCTGATCTTAATCTCTCTATCTTTATAATAGATATAGATGTGTAGAGACTGTGACAGTGATAGAACAATTGAAGAGCTTATATTAAAATATACAGCAGGTTCAGAAATCTTGAATTTCTGTTAGAGTAGAAATGTATACACTCTAGAAGATAATATAGTATTTCTCTCAGAGAATGAGATCAGATCAGTCTTAGTATAAGTATATAAAATTATATCAGTCTGTTAGAGCTTAACTGATTTAAACTTATAATCAGATTAAGTAATTTAAATTGTAATATAACAGAATTAAAGTAGTGACTAGTTAGCAGTATTATATAGAGATAGTTATTTAAGAAGCTGTATAAGTAAGCTTAACTATCTTGCTTAAATAGTAAGCTTATAGACTACAGAGTTATTACAAGAATATCACAGATGTGATACTTAGTATACTAAGAAGATTATATAAGATACATAGTAACTCTTATATATATTTCAGTAGAAAAAAAACAAATCACTGATTTCTTTAATAAAGAGTCAGTATCTAGCTATTCTATATAGATAATAAGCAGATACTCTTCTCTTATTTTATAAGTAAGAATAGTCAGAGTGATATCTCAGTAATATCTTATTATTAAGAAAGAGTAATCTGCTGATCTTATATAGAAGTGAGATTCTTATATTTATTAATTAAATCTTTCTATAATATATTCAAATAATGTTATAGAGTGGTTGAAAACTGGTTCAGATAAGATGAAATCATCTGCATGAAATTAATAAGCTGTGTGAAACCGCAATGAGATCTTGACGCGGCCGGGAGCGTGATACAAGATCACTGAGATTAAGATTATTCTCTTAAGAGAATAAAAATGACTTATCAGATAGCTGTCTTGAATCAACAGTATAATAATAAGTATAAATATTATCTTAAAGATTTATTCTGAATTAGTAAATTTAATAACAGCTATAGATCTTTATCTGTAAATCTTTAAGTATATAATAAAATTTCTATATACACTGTTAATTATTAGAATTAACAGCTGAATCTGTAAGATAAGTAGAACTCTGAGAATTTATTAAAGAGTCTGAGATAATTACAGTCTATAATTAATTATATTTCTGAAGAATTGTAAGAGCTTCTATATTTAATATATTAATTAAGCTTTCAGATTATATAGAATACTGAGATATTAAGAAACTACTAACTCTTTTATTAAGTTAATTAATAAATGAATCTACAGAGCTCTGAGAAACAGAGCTTTAAGAAGTTAAGAATAAGAAAAATAATATAAAAGATATTTATAATAGAAGTATATCTATAAAAGTGAAATAAGATTGACTTAAAAATAAGTTGAATAATAATATAGATAATTAATAAAAGACTGAAGAGAGATCTATAGAATTAAAAGATAAATTAATTATCAAAGATAGCAGCTGCAGTTATTTTCTTAATTAAGTTAAGAATAAAGTTAATAAGAAATATTCTTTATAATATTTAATAACACAGTGAGCTCTTTGAATAATAGTTTTCTTTTTATAAACTGTTATTAATAAAAATATATCAGAACTATAAATCTTATAATAATAAAACTTAATCTTAGATAATATATCTATTTTAATAGACTATTCACAGACTTAAGAGACTGCTGTTAATTATATAAAGTATTAATATATCTGAGATAATAAGAGAAGTTCAGACTTATTTATTATAGAATCTATAATTATAGAAGAATCTGATTTTACTATATACATTTATTTACAGTTTTACACAGTGTAAAGAGATAATCAGTAATAGAAAAGATATAATAAGAGAAGATTATAATATCTAAGTTCTCTGAGTACAGTATTGAAGACAGATAGCTGTAGAAGTAGTAGAACACTGTAAAGAAATAAATTAATTAAGAGACTGATTTCATAAGCAGTGAATGCAGGCTTTTAATATATTATTTATTCTTAAGAATCTATGAGAGATAATTGATCAGATGTGTTATCTATTCAAGAATCTGTACAGAGTAGATAGTTGATAAGATGTGTGATCTATTATTCAAGAATCTGTATGAAGTAGATGATATAGTTGATGAGATGAAAGATGAATGTGTTGTGAGCGTGTAGAAGTCATAGTGTAATGTCACAGGATTGTGCTTTGCTTAATTCTACATCAATCAGTGGGCTGTATTCACGCCAAGAACCCCAAAAAGGAAATTCTCCACTTTTAATGACCAGGGTTTTCATCATATATTTGCTTCGCTTCGCTCCGCAAATAATAGCCACAATAATGCCAATAACAATGGACTGACCACCTCAACGGAAAAAAAATCAGATACCTTTACAGCGGTTGGACAGCGCGAACAATGACTACAAGATGTCCATACTGCCACATTTCATATGCATCATTGCGTCTAAAGACCTTCCATCGTCTGGCCATCGAAGTGACTACCACTCTTCCAGCGCGCCGGAGCTTCATGACAAGCTCTAGCTGCCACTTCCCCAAACCAAACCCTAACCAGAAGAAACGACATGGAAATCCAAGACGACGAAGAATGCAAGAGCTCTCCAAGCTCGAGAGTCTGCACGCTGAAATCTCCGGACTCGCTAAAGAGTTGAAAAGTAAACCACAAACTGCGCAATCGTCTAGCCCTTCTACACCCACTGAAGGAGAAAAGAGCATACCAGGCCTGCCTATACAGCCAGAAGATATACCACATACACATGCGCCACCTTCGCAGTACCTCCCCAAATCCCCCATTGTCGCAAGACTAGAACAAAGGGGAAGCAAGTTGAAACCCCGTGCGGGAAAACAGGATATTGACCGCCTAAAATACAACCCGTGGGCGCAGATACTAGCAAGCCCTGTGCGCATGTGCGTTGCAACTGGAGCCCGGATACCAGATAAACTGCTGGGAGACTGGGGCTTGGTGCAGCACCCGAAGACAAAGAGGTCATGGATCATGCCTGTGGACTTGGTTAAGGAGGAACTGCAGAGAGTGAGCGCGAAGAGAATGCCAACGACATCATCAGAGACGCGCGATGGCGTTCCTGAAGAGGACCCGATACTACCGCCTCCATCTCCTCCGCCACGATACAAATTTCGTACCTTCCACATGACGAGTAGCGTAGAGGTGTTGGATGCGATTTCTAAAATGAAAGAGACTCAGCCGGGCCGTCTTATCCCTACTAATTGGAAAGTACCAAAGGGACCCTTGCAGCGGAAACCGACTTATGTTTTTCGAAGGGACATGTCAGATTATTATTTGGCGCGGATGAGGGAGAGGGTCATGGCATGGTTGAAGAAGGCGAAGGAGCTACGGCCACTCGGGGAGAAATCGGGGGACTGGACCGTTCTAGACACGGGGATAGAAGCTATTGGAGAAGAAGGGCTGGAGGAAAATTTGCGGAAATTAGGAGACTTGGAGCATGTAGCTTGGGGAGCGGTGTTTATATCGAGGAGGGCAGGGACGGAGGACACTGACAATTCTCTACCAGGGGAAGAGTCAGCAGCTGAAGAAGACAATCCCAACATACCTTCTACTTCGCAAGTAGAATCGACAGATGAATCAAGCCGTCCAGAAGCCTCTATTGCTCCAGAAGCTCATTCGGAATCAGCCAAGGTATTTCCCAAGCTACCTAATTACGTCGCTCTGCCTGCCATAGGCTCGATAGTACCAGTGTTCGACCTCACTACTCTCCTGACAGAAGACCAGCTGAAAGATCTCCGTCATCATGCAGATATATTCCAACACCCTGCAATCCTTTACCGGCCGGGAGAAAGAGCACCCTCCTCTATGATTTCTTGGCTCTGGAATCTGAAACTTTATATGATGAAGTATGATGGACCCTGAGAAGGCCGTTTTATTCCCAATCATAATGCATGTATATAGTATAGGATAGGCATTTCCAAAGCGATATTTAGCCATTTCCCTTGCATGGACCAATGTATCATAACTAGAAATGTATAATAGACGGACCGAGAGGAGCATTGAATTGAAGGAAGTAGTCTCCTTCGATGAAGATAGATTTACAAGGAATAAGTGTCCAGAAATTATATTCTTTCATCTATCGCTGGTCTATATGGAGTATCATGAAAATACTACATGAGGTCTCTCACTCTCATGACCCGTCTCTAATCAGAACAAATCTAGTAAACCGCAAAATGTCGAAGTCTATGATACCTTCAAACATAAGCAAAACCTCAGCAGCACTACACAGCCTTGAGCAAATCCTTCAACCCATCCACATATGCCGTGGGTCTCACCGACCCCATCGTAAAATCCTCCTTACTATTCACCCCAGTCAAAACCGCCAACGTACCCCCCAGCCCACCCTCAATCCCAAACCTAATATCCGTATCCAACCGATCACCAACCATACAGGCCTTCTGCCTCTCGAACTTAAACTTTCCCTCTATCGCATCCATCATAGCCTGGCTCGGCTTGCCGAGCGAAACAGGCTCCTTACCACCCAACATCCTTATAAGAGGAGCACTTATCGTGCCCGCGCCAGGGAAAAAAGAGCCCGCAGTGGGCAGCGTGCTATCGATATTCGTCGCAAGGAACACCGCGCCGCGCCGTAGGTAGTGGTACGCCAGCGCCAGTTTCAGATAGTTGATGTGGAAATCGAGGCCGGCGAGTACGACGCCGACTTCCGGGTCGATTAGGGAGGGTTCAGCGGTGGCGATCTGGCCGAAGTCGTGAGGCGTGATGTCGCGCCTGTAAGCGGGGTCGGTGCCGCCGATGAAGGGAACATTTTCCGCGCTGAGTTCTTGCTCGATGCCGGTTTCGCCGAGGACGAAGACTTTTTGTTTATTTGGGGGCAGGGATAGGATGCGGGAGATGTAGATTGAGGCGCTGTAGGAGGAGGAGAAGATTTCTTCCTGTAGGGTAGTTAGGAGTTGTATGTCGCGTAGGCTGGGAGGAGAAGGAGGCGGGAGGATTTCAGGTTGCGTACAATGTCCGCGGGGATTCCCAGGCCATCCAGTTTCTTTTTATAATCCGCGCGGGACTTGGTACTATTGTTGGTAACGAAGATAATTTGCTTTCCTGAATTATTTCCCAGCGATGGGTATCATCCTCCAATTATTAGCAATTCTCCGCGATTTGGTATTTGCGGGGATGTATGTGTACCAAGATGCACACACATACATACATACGTCTACACACCTTTCCGCCTCAGCATCTCCAAGGTCTCAACTGTTCCCTCGAATAGGATGTCTCCTGACCATAAGACGCCTAGATATCATTTTGTCTTCTCAGTATACGGTCTGCTTTCGGTGGAATCCAGCCAGCCATAGATAATGCGGGGGGGTAACGGCGTGGGAGAATGTTCGGAGAGATTACAGACCATCGCAGTCAAAGAGAAAAACCTATGGAAGTGCAATTCAGTATATGTATGTATATCAAAAATCAAGTCCTTTTACAAATAATTTGTAGCAATATGAATAATAAAGTCGAAAACTGAGCAAAAGCCAAAAAGCGGGAGTATCTTACATCGAACTTATCCAGAAATTCCTGGATGCCCGCCGGATCACCCGTAAGGTATTTAGGCGTTTCAGCCATTTGTTCGAACAGTGTAATAATATGACGGGTTTCAATTAAACAAGGACAGCCAGTCTCATCCAGCGTTGATGATGTGCATGACAAGATAGAATGAAGCAGAAATGTTCTCGACCAGCGTACATGAAGGTTCCGTCATACCATACCATACCTGTGGTGGGGCGAGATCTTGGTGACGGCGTTTCGGGAGCAGGAACCGAACTCTACTGTTATTTAGTTGTCGGGCCCCTGAATGATATTTTATTATACTTTATTCGAAAGGTTGATAGAAGACCATTTCATCATACATACTGTTAAAAACGAAAGCGAAGCTTAAAAAAATAGAATATATGAACTTCCCGTTGTTATGAATAATACTGTTATCCCTGTGATGTAACGCAACCGCTCCAACAAAATAGATCATGAATCATAGCTTGCATTTTCATAAAGAGTATGTATAGGCAAGAAACCACTGCAGCCAACGCCATGGTTATGAAGGCCGCCCTAATATCTCTGATATTCTCAACGCCAGGTCCAAGATGGCGAGGTGCTCGTCCGCCCCGTCAATGAGCCGCTTATCAAACTCAGAGAACACTAAAACAAGGCTATTCTTCTGGATGTCGGGTATAGAGTCGTCAAACACGATGATTTGATATAGCTTTTTTCGCCTCTCGTTAGTCGCAGGATATCTTCTAGGAACACACGAAAATAAAAGAATTTTTAACACACACATACCTGAGTTAAAATCTGCGACGCACTCCAGCCATCCGCCACAATATCGGTTACCACACTGGCAACATCTTCATACGACGAACGGCCCTTTTTCGGTTGCAGCGCCTTAATCAACCGATCGATAATATCGTCCGGAACGACTCCAGCAATTTCCTCAATGATTCTCGCAGTAATAACACCATCCTCACCAGCACCAACATCAGTCATCTCCTCATCTCCACCTCCATCCTTGCCCCCCACAGAACCCACCAGCCTCGCCGCACTTTGCAAGTACGTAATGGCCCGGCGCAAATCACCCTCACTACACCGAATCAACGTCTCCACACACCCATCAGCAAGTTTCAGTTTTTCCACTCTCGCAATTTTCTCCAACCGGCTCCCCGCCGCGGAGCCATCCAATGCCTTGAAGCGGAATTTGCTACACCGACTCGCCAGCGGATCAATGATCCTCGTGACATAATTACACACGAGACAGAAACGAGTGATGCGGCTGTACCTTTCCATCGTGCGGCGAAGCGCCGATTGTGCATCCTGCGTCATACTGTCGGCTTCGTCGAGGATGATGATTTTGAAGGGCGGGCAGGGGTATGTTTCGCGGTAGGCGCTGTCTGAGGCGGGCGGGTGTGATAGTTGCATTCTTGCGAAGTCTTTTATTTTCTCGCGGACAATGCTGATGCCACGCTCATCTGAGGCGTTGAGTTCCAGGATGCGGGAGCGGTAGAGTTGCGGGCCGAAGAGGGATTTGGCCAGGGCGAGGATCGTGGAGGTTTTTCCTGTCCCTGGTGGGCCGTAGAAGAGCATGTGTGGTAGCTTTCAATTTGTCCAAAATATGAAATCGTAAGCATATAGTGAAACACAACGGGAATTTTTGGGAAATTGGCCAGGAATAAATTTACATTTGAGGCTTGTAATGTGCGTTGTAGAACAGTCACGGTATGTTCCTGAGATGCGACATCATCGAGGGTTTTCGGTCGGCTGAAGCACGCATAATTAGCTATTGCACGATTCATGCGGATATATGAATGCCATTGACATACTATTTCTCAACCCATGGCTGTAATCTCGTGGTGTCACCCTCTTTATCTGAAGCTTTTGCCTTGGGAGCGCCCCCCGCAGCTGCGGCGCGAGCTCTGTTGTTGAAGAAATTCGACATGAGGGTAACCAAGCAAATCAAATATGAAAATCCGGGATATTGTTATGTCAAAATATAAGTAGAGGAAATTTAATTGTAAAAAGGTCCAAGGTTAGGTCTCTTAAGAACAACCGCCGCATAAATGATATATTATGTTGGATCAAATAAAGCTGAAGCTCTTGGAAGTTTCGCGTTGGACGCGTGGATCACGTGGAGACGCGACTTCAATGTCGATTCGGCACCCTGCTGTAAGTTAAGTGTAGCTCAATCATCACAAGCGCTGCTGGTAGAAGGGCTGATCAACCCCCGGGACCCCCAACAGTAAGTACCAGATCGCCAAATTTGTAAGGAAAGGTACTTCTACAGAAAGTTTCAAGTTCCAAACCACTAGAACTGAATTGTATTTTAATTATCAGAAGGAGATATATTTCTAAGATGATATTCATATCTCATCACTTCATAACTTAACTATTCAGTGCTTTCTATAAACAAATACAGCCAAAAAGAAAACCTCACAGCTCATCCTTTCTCTTCTCCTCCTTGATCGGCTCCTCATGCATCCTCTTCTTCGGATTCCGAGGTAACTGCTCCTGTCTCCGTCTTTCTTCAGGGGATATATCATCTACATTTGTTCCCTTCTCGTGATTATCACTTCCCTTCTTAACGATATTCTCTACTTCACCCAATATGCTTTCATTCTCCGCTTGCGGTGTTCCCGTCTGCTCAGCATCCACTGATGACAGTGACGATGATGCCGATGCACTCTTCAAAGTAGCTCCATTAATCACCGCCGACGGCGTCTCTGAAAGGACACTAGCCCCCGAATTACTCAGTGATAACGATGTTAGGGGCGAACCTGGTATCTGGGAAGATTTATTTGCTAAACCTATGCCGCCTAGGATCGGGAATATCATCCGAACCATCAGTTTCAAGGGCATCCAGAGCAACCACCAGAGAGGGCCGTAGAGTATGCGCCGGAACACGAGCCAGATGATGGTTCCGATTAATATGTAAAATGCAGTTTCAAGGTACCATGTATCCGATTTCTGTGAGCGGAGCAGCGATATTGCGAGCGAGCGGGACGAGGCGAGGAGTGTGTCGAGGGTACTGTACGATTCCGAGAGCGAACTAAGCGCCGCCGTAGATTGTTCTGGGGCCGGACTTGTTCAATATACACTCACTTGCTCTGCCCGAACAAACTAAAGGGAGGTGGGAAGGAAAGGGAGTCAAACCTAGTGTTTCCTGGGCAAACTGGCTCCTGGACAACTCCGCTTGCATAAGCTGATGCGTCCGCCGCAGCGCAGCAGTAATATCTTCCGCAGCACTGGCTACCAGGTCATCATGCGTAAGACCGGCACGGCCTTTTCGCCGCATTCCCTCGCTGCCGCCCTCTCCCCCTTCAGCCCTAGCAAACAACAGCTGTCTCTCTTTCCGCCTCGCAGCCTCCGCATTTCGTTTCGCTTGCAACTGCGCTTTGCGGAATTGCATCCTGGCACTATATTCCCGTAGCACAAGTCAGTCGAACGTACACAAACCAAACAAAAACCCCCCAGAAATATCTATATCCATTTTATTTACCCACCTCTTCAAATCCTCCTCCAGCTTCCCAACCACAACCACCACCCTCTCCCTCTCCGCCTCCATAACTCCACTCTCCCTTTTCCTATTCCGCGAAGATTCCAACTGCTCCAGCTCAACACGCAGCAACTCCATCTGCTCCTCCATCTCCTTTAGACGGAGATGGATCTCCGCAGCAAGCTCGAGGCGTGCATCGTCGCCGGTGCCTGGGGTAGCGGGCAGGTTTTGTAGACGTTGAATTAGGGAGATGGTTTGTCTGTGGGTTGTTGAGAGGGAGGTTATGCGGGTTTGAAGGCCCGGGGAGATCATGATTGCCGCGGGCAGTGCACGTAGGTTGTAAATATAATGGGAGGTTATACCTGCGGTGATGTTTGCTTGATTTCGGATTAGAGTATACCACAGTGTTGCGCATAGCAAAATGCTAACCTCGACCACCTCACATAATCCTATGCCGTTTCGATGTTTGTCTGATTACGATACCTTTGATATTAAGGTAGTTAGTTAACTATGTATCTGGGTGTTTAAAGCTGGCAAGTTGCGATGCTGGCTATGACCGGCGGAGAGATGTTTGACAACAATGCAAACACGGCACCAACTGGCAATGTCTTGGCATTTTCTTCCCGGAATCTCGAAAAAGTCGCAACGCCGCATCGAGATGTCAGAAGAGGAGCAGAAGAACAGATCCAATTCCTCCACATCCCATCCTCTGCTTGAAAATACGCCGCATACGTCGCGTACCGTTTAATCTGCATCCGCTTTGAATTCATCATCGCCTTCTCTATCCGCTGAATTGATCCTTTCCACCGCCGGCTTAAAGCTTCCTACAAGGAGGGGTCGGTCTTGTCACCCATAACCTCAATTGAAGACAAGGAAACGAGCTACGGCATTATAGTCTAATGAAATAGGTACATATATACCCCCCATCCACCGCTTCACCCCATCCTCTAGCCCCCCGATTCGCAAGAACTACCACCAAATACAAAAGCTAACCAGCTCTCTCTACAGAGTTCGTAGCCTCCCAAACAAAAAATAAAATAAAAAACCACCCTCAAAACCAAACCCATATCCAAAATCCAAAAAACGAATTAACAAGCCACAAAAATGCCCATCCCCCTCCACACCATAACCAGCCTCCGCACCACCTTCTCCCCCTTCAGCCCCCTCTCAAAACCCTGCCGCCTCTTCGTCTCCCTCCTCCAGAACCCCTCCACCTCCTCCCCAGCCTCCCCCACTCACATCAAGATCGACATCAAGCACCTGCCGCGCGGTTCCAAGCAGCTGCCGGAGATGACGGTGGGGTTCAAGGGGGGGAAGGAGCTCAGGCTTGAGGTTGGCAGACTAGGGTTGGGGGTGCGGGATGTGGTGGAGGAGGTAGGGAGGGTGGGGAGGGTGTTGGCTAAGGAGGCGAGTTTGAAGGGGTAGAGGGGAGGGGGGGGGGGGGACGTTTGGGCGTCCCGGGGGCAAGGGTGGGTGTTTTGCCTGTCTATTTTTCTGTTGACGAGATGGGAGGAGGGCTCTGTGTGGGCGTTGTGGATTTGGTTTCTGTTACGAGTCTTCTGGGGACAATGATGGGGGAGGTAGGGTTTGTGTGAAGGCAGTGAGGGAGGGAGAGGATATGGATTAATAAACGTTGACGGAAAAGCTAGTGCAGCGTCTATGAAATGCATAACTTGACGGGCAAGTCAGTGATTGGGAGTCGACATCAGTCAAGGACTGATTTGTGCGGTATCAAACCTGTGTATATTTGTACATTGTATTATTTATCCTAGACATAGCGGGATAAGGCGTCTGTGATGCTCATTTTTGTTGCACTGTTATTGTACAAATTTTGTTTTTTCGATATTTCCCATCTCGTATAGCAATTGCTGCGTAATTTGATTCTACTTTCCACCGTCTTCGCCTTGCCAGCCAGGAAGGATCAAGTTCTGTGTATAGCAGAGCATCAGGACAAAGAGTCACAAAACTTGCTGTATTTAAAAGAGAGGGTTATATTTTTTTTATATATATTTTTTTGTATTCATGTCTATTCAAGCCCAAATATGCAGGTGGTATTTCGCCATTAAATAGCGCAGTCCAATCCAATCCAATCCATCCACCCAGCTTCCCATCATCACGCACTGGCTTTTTCCGATTCTATCCTTGCTCTGCCACCAAACACACCTTCATCCAACTTAATAAATAATTAAACTTTTTGATATATGCGTTTTTTTTCTTTCTTTTCTGTTCTTTTCTTTCCTTTGGTCCCTCCAGCACAGAAATGCAACGGGCCGAAAGGAAAGGAATTTTTTTCTTTTTTTGCTAGGACTCTAGAAAGGACAGGAGACAAGATGATAAAAAAAAAAAAAAAGAAAAAAAAAATTCTCTTCATATTTATGAGCACGAGGCTTAAGGCAAAATAGACCCAAAAAAAGGGGGGAAACAGGGGAAACAGGTTGAATTTATGATGGGATGGAAGGTGGTGTGGGGCGGTCCGCCTAGCAACAGTAAAGGGGGGCGGGGGAAATGAGGAGAGGGTAAAGGTTTGAAAAAGAAGGGACGAAAAAGAATCTTAGACGGCAGCACCGGAGATGAAGAACCACTTGTCGACGCTGCCGTCGATGGGGGCGGGAGCGAGCTCTTGGTGGGCTGGGATGGCACTGAGTTGGTTGCCATCGACGCGGTCTGGGGATTGCTCTTTGGTGACGTTTGCGCTGTGGGGGGAAGGTTAGTATATAGATCTCATTTTTCCTTCTGGGCAGCGGCGAATAAAGGGACAGCAATATATTGTAGAGAGAGGCAACATACAGGGAGATATCACCGCGAGAGCTCTTTCCGGTCATCAATTTGTCCCAGGCGTCGGCGCACTCGTGGACGACTTCCATGGCGTACCTAAAAGGGGGAGAGAGAAGGTTAGTAACAACAAAGAGATAATAACCAGAAAAAGAAACAAATAAATAAAAATAAATGAAGACAAGCAAGCCTACTTCTTATTCTTGCATTCACCCGAGAATGCAAATTGATTCTCAGGCTTTCCATCGGGGATCTTGTAGATACGGAACCATTCGTTGGTCGCCCGCAGGAGGCCAGGGAGATGACGCTCGACATCCTCGATGTCATTGAGTTTGGGAGCGAGGGGGTCGTTGACATCGATGACAATGACTTTCCAGTCGGTCTCCTCCTCGTCGAGCAGGGCCATGACACCGAGCACCTTGACCTGTTTGACCTGGCCACAGTATCCGACCAGCTCGCCGATTTCGCAGACGTCGAGGGGGTCGTTGTCGCCCTTGGCTTTGGTTTCTGGGTGGACGACGTTGGGGTCTTCCCATGTCTGTAAAAGGGAGAGTTGGTTTAGCAATTGGGATAGGGGATGGATATAGGAGGAGTTGGGCGCACTTACGCGGGGGAAGGCTCCGTAGTTCCAGAGGTAGCCTTTGTGTGGGAAGCAGTTGCGGACATATCGCAGCTTGCCCTTCTTCACATCCTGCTTGATGGGGTTGAGGAATTCCTCTTTGGAGATCTGGAATAATAATAGGAATAATTAGTAACGTAACGAGGGGTTAATGCTTCTTGTTTCTTGTCCTTCTTTGTTGAATAAATTCTCCCCCCTCCCTCCCCCACCAGCCACCACCATCAACCCCCACTGGAGGAGGGGAAGGGGGTTAAAAAAAGACCCCCAACTTCATATGAACCCTGCACATCTTGAAAGCATAATAACACACAGGACACACGACACACAGGACGGCACGAGACGGGACACACACACCTCTAGCTTGGCATTTGTCCAGCGGGGGATCTCGACCACCATGTTCAGAATGGTCTGCTGCTCATTGGCATACAGCGGAATATCATGGAAGGGCGAGATGGGCTGTCCATCCCGCTCAATGTAGGCACGGAAGTCGAGGGTGTTTGGTTGGCCGACTTTGCGGACTGAGTATTCGGAGGGGGCTTTTGAGTACGACATTTCGGCGATAGTGGAGGAGGACGAGAAATGTCTGGAGAGTAGAGCAACACGCTTCGAAGAGGCAGACGGGCGAAGGGGAGAAAACTGGTGGTGGCGGGGTAGGATGAGAGAAGAAGAGGGAGCAGAGGAAGAGGAAGAAGAAGAAGAGGAAGAAGAAGAGGAGGAGGAGGAGGAGGGGGGAAAAGATGTGGGGGGAGCCAGCTTAGTAGACGACCACGACTGACGACGGGCAGCACCAGCAGCAACAGCAGCAACAGCACCGCCAGCAATGACACCACGCTGCAGATATCCAGCAGCAGTGGCAGCAGCAGCAATTGGCCCTGGGCGGGATCGGAGGAGCAGAGGAGACGAGACTAATTGGCTCAGTGTGCGCGGCGCGAGTGGGATTGTTTGGGCCAGGTATTTGGACATGTGGCAAGCAGCGACGGCGGCAGAGACTGATTGTATGCTTTGGAGCTGGAGGAGGGAAAGAGAATAATATATATATTGGATTATATATATTATTGGATTTCCCCGGGTCGGAATAATTAATGGTTTGGGTCTTTGAAAGTAAATATTATTTATTTATAATAGCAAAATGGAGCTTTTGGTGATTGAAATTGATTGTGGCCGAGGTGATTGTATTGTGGGTTATTTGGCAAATTCTTGTTCCCGAAGATGACGGGTAGGTAGGTAGGTTTGTTACGGCAATTATTATTCTGCTCATCTATTCAAAATATCCTCTTCATTCAATTATATATCTGTTTGTTTACTGCGCTCTTGTTAAATATCGCCAGCCTGGGATATTTTTAACCACTGGTTGTGATCCCTGAAGCCGAAGTCGGGCTGCATCGCCGATTATTCTTGCGAAGAGAGCACAAAGCATAGAGTAGTCGAGCACCTAATCGTACCCGCCAATTGCGCCTCCATATCCAGATATCCAATTAATATATATCAAATGATACTGTGTCTCATTATTTTTTGCCAAAAAAATAAAATAAAATAAAATATCGAGAATAATTCGGGGAATATCATGTGATTCAACTGTTGGGGGTCCCGCGGTTGGTCGGCCCTTCTACCAGCAGGCGCTGGTGGTGATTGAGCTCTTTTGCTTGCCCCAGTAGCCTACAAATGCTTATGTAACTGATATCGTTATCTCCACGTGATCTGTATAGAAATTTGCCTTTTTGGGCCAATCCTTCAACTTCCTCAATATATTGAATCACACCCAGCAATATATCTGATATCCAGCAAACATCCTCATATATATTTTTGTGTCTGGGTCCTGTTACCTCACCTCTGAGATTGACTCTCATCAGTGTCCTCGAACAATGCCATGTTCAAAAGGTTTCTTCAACTAATCATGGGGTCCATCGCAAAATCACCTCACCCTGTACCTGCACTCACCCCCCGCGTCCCCATCCCCAAAAATGGCGTAGACTATCGCGGTAAAATAGTACTGGCCCCCATGGTCCGCTCAGGGGAGTTGCCCTCCCGCCTCCTTGCTCTGAAATACGGCGCGGATCTCGTCTGGGGCCCTGAAACCATCGACAGAGCCCTGATCGGCTGCACCCGTCGCATAAACCCGCGCAACTCCATGGTCGAGTTCACCCGCCTCCCCTCCAACGGTGGGCGCCAAAATACCCCAAATGCCAAAGAATCCGTAATCTACCGCATCGACCCACACCGCGAAAGCGGCAAACTGATCTTCCAAATCGGCACCGCCTCTCCAAACCTAGCCGTCCAGGCCGCCAAAATCATCGCCGCAGACGTTGCCGGCATAGACGTGAATGCCGGCTGTCCCAAACCCTTCAGCACCAGCGGCGGCATGGGAGCTGCCCTCCTCCAGACCCCAGACCTGCTCGTTTCCATCCTCACCGCCCTCGTCCAACAGATCGGGAACCCGTACCAGATCGGCATCTCCGTCAAAATCCGCCTCCTCGCCGACCCAGAACGCACCCGCGACCTCGTCACCCGCCTCTGCGCCACGGGCATTACGGGCCTGACCGTCCACTGCCGCACGACGCCCATGCGCCCGCGCGAGCGCGCCATCCGCGCCCAACTGCCCATGATCGCCTCCATCTGCCGCGCCGCGGGCGTCGCCATCCTCATGAACGGCGACGTCGAGTCGCGCGACCACGGCCTCGCGCTGATGTCCGAATACGGCGTCGACGGCGCCATGATCGCGACCTCCGCGGAGGCGAACTCGTCCTGCTTCCGCAGCGGGGCGCAAGGCGGGCTCCTCCCCTGGCGCGACATCGTGTATGCCTACATGGATTTCTGCCTGCAGTGCGAGAATAAGTGGGGGAATACCAAGTATTTGCTCAACATGCTTATTCCCGGGAAGGAGCGGGCGTTCAATGCGGCGAAGCAGTCCAAGTCGTATCAGGAGGGTTGTCGGGTGTTGGGGTTTGAGGATCTGATTGCGCGGGCGAAGGAGGTTGATGCGATTATTGGGCGGACACCGCTTGATGCTTATGCTGATGCTGAGGAGCAAGGTGAATCGGTGAGTCTTCAGAAGAGGAAGAATAAGAAGAATAAGAATAAGAAAGTTAAAAGTCCCGCAGTGCAAAAGGCGATGTTGACGAACGAGAGTGCAAAGGCCGCGGGTATCAGTGCTGGTGACGGGAATGCTCATGCTCATGCTCATGCTCGTCAATCGGGCGGCAGAATGGGTAAGGATAGAGGCGTTAAGAGAGCGACGGGGGGTACACCCGTGGTGGATGGCGATGATGAGAATAATGTGCCTCTTGGACTAGATTCTGCTGCTGCTGTCTTGGTCGATATGCCTGCTGTAACAGCTGCTGTTGCTGCTGCTGCGCATCCACCTGCTGGGGAAAATGCGCCTGTTCCCCTACATTGATATTCATGAATGTCTCCCAATTCCTTTGCGCTCCGCGTACCCATTATGCCTGTCGAAAATACCCGATCTATCCATACTCGCCATCCAACCACACTCGGTCCATCTTTGCTATTCAGCGTCTTAGATCAATATGTTGCATAATGTTGCATAATACCGGCGTTGTATCTGTGGGATTTTACTTTGTGTTTTTCATTTTCATTTATTTTGGCTGCTTCTAGATTTCAATTTTTTTTCACCCTCTTGATTTAACACTTCAAGAGTACATATATACCCTACTGCGCAGGGGAAAAAATGAATGTATTCAGTTCACACATTATTTTTTGTCATTCATATTTGTTACGTATATACACCCCCCCTAGGTTTCCACCCTATTAAATTTTTTTTTCTCCTTTCATATATGTGCCCTCCAAATGGAGAAGCAACGCGTTCAATCCACGGATGCGACATGGCTGCACGCTCGACTCAAAACACCTCTGTACTGGAAGAAGGAACATCGAACAGAAAGAAATCGGAAAAGACAAAAAGGAATTACCTATTAAATTTAATAGGTACACCTCCTGCCATGGCCGTGGATATCATCACACTTGCCATTGAACGGCTTCACGCCTCCAGTGCCCAGAGCGCGGGCCTGCTTGGGCGGCGGGTCCTTGGGGGGCAGGCTCTTGGTGCTGCGCGCATAGGTCGCAAGCGCATACGCCGCGCCCTTGGTATTCATCATCCACGCCTTCATGTTCACGTTGTTCGCATCATCGCCCACGCCGTGGTAGTTGGAGTCATACGCGATGCCGGCGGTGCCGCCGAACATCTTGGCCTGTTCCTGCGTCTTGATGCCCTCGGCGCCCGTGAAGATGCCGCCGGCGGGAATGCTGACGGAGATGAAGGCGTCGTAGTCGGAGCGCCCGTCGAACTCGCTGGGGATGTGTGCCGTCCTGCGGTCCTCGTAGTATTTCTGGAAGAGTTTCTCGATCTCGGCGCTGCCGGAGGGGCCGGTGAAGTTGAAGGTTGAGCCGTCGCCGTCGTAGATCATGTAGGCGTAGTTGGGGGAGGCGGTCATGTCGAAGTTGAGGTACAGGCGGATTTTGTCGCGTTCTTCGGGGCTGAGGTTGTCGACGTAGTATTGCGAGCCGAGGAGGCCGTATTCTTCTGCGGTCCAGAAGAGGAAGCGGACGGCGTTGGGGACCTTGAATCGTGCGAGGGCCTTGGCGATGGCGAGGTTGCCGATGATGCCGGAGCCATTGTCGTTGATGCCGGGGCCTGAAAGGGGAGAGAAGAGCGGGTATATTAGATATTGTTGCTGCTGGTGGTTGTGGTGGGAGAGGGGAAATGTGCATGTACTTACCAGCCTCAACGGAGTCGGAGTGTCCTCCAATCGCGATGATGTTGTTTTTATCTCCACCCTTCGAGGTTGCAATGACGTTATATCTATGGTGAAATAATCCCGTTTTAATTCCAACAACCCATAATTTGCCTTGGGGAAGCCTACTTACGTCGTGCGGTTCTCAAACTGTGAGTTAGCAAACAGTTCACCCATCAAAGTCCCCGATCCCAAGCGCGCGGCGAGGTCGTCTCCGATTTCCTTGGAAACACCGACGGTCGGGGGATAAGGGCCTGCGGGGTTAGAGGGAGCACCTAGGGTCCCTGAAAGGGACCCGGGGATGTTATTATAGATCAAGGCACCGGCGGCTTTAGCTGAGCCGGCAAGAGCGGATTTGAGGCCAAACGGGCACTCGCACGAAGGATCAGCGCGATTTTGCCATTCACTTCTGGTGGGAAATCTGCCTGCAAAATTGGTTCATGTTCAGTGCTTGCTTCCTTCTCTGCTTCTTGTATTTCTCCTTATTTTCCGTTTTGGGTACTACTGGGTTGTCACCTACAGGAACACATCCGAGGTTATTCACAAGGACAAGCTCCGCCTTCGCGTCCCCTGACGGGCTGTATGTCATAGGAAGAACCTCCTTGTTCTCGCCATTGACTTTCAATGTGGCTTCGGACTTGCTCCACAGGTGAACTTGCTCCTGCTTGCTCACGTCATAGTAACGGGTCCGCTTAAGCTCTTTCACGAGGTAATCAATGGTAGCCTCATGGCCCTCAGTGCCGAAAACCCGGTTCCGTCCAGGAGAAGCGTATGCAAGAGATTCTAACTTTTTGGCTCCTGCCTTCAGATCCCTTTCGCGAATAAACCACATCAATTTTTCCTATTATAGGGGGAAAAAAAAGCGGGGTGGTTAGCATTCTTGCTTCACTTCGCATGACAGTGGCGGATATACATACAGGGGAAACCTGGCGGAATCTATTATACCAATCGCCCGGGAAAGGGAACTTTGGGAAATCTGGAAAATCTGGAAAACCCGGGAAACCTTGCGTCTCGACATCTGGTGTCTCAGCGACAGCCAGATGTGCTCCAAGGGCAGCCCCGAGGGCAAGTAATTGGACCTTCATTTTGCAGGATGGGCCAGTAGTCCTAGCTACTGCGTAAACTGCAGCAGTATCTCAATGAAAGTAAAGGCAGGATTGGGGGGGGGGGGAAGGGGGCAAGCGGCGGAAATGGAAAGTCCCAAAACAACGGCCCTTTCTGTACAACTGGAAGGCGAAATAGTTAAGGGACGAAGTGTAGCATCCTGAGGATTTATATAGTCGAATACATTTTCCCCGACAACCGTCATGCGAGCGACGGCAGCCGCTGTCGGGAAAAACAAAGTAGCGGAAACGTCTGTACAGGACTGTGAATCGTCCCTAATTTGGGCTAAGGGACAAAATTCCAACCCGCTGTCATCCGCTAATCATTCCTTAGTGCTGTTGACCGTATATTCCAAGGATATGAATGCCGTCCTCATACCACCTACGGAAACGGGTATAGCTCCCATCTTGCATAGATATTTCAGCTCTGGGTCCCTTGGCGGAACTCAACTTGCAGTGTCTGATTTGCCAGAATAGGCGTAATATTTTTAAAGCTGGGTTGTTGGAGATAGTCTTGTTTTTGCGCAGTGTCGAGGAGATTTTATGCTCGATGGTGATTCGAGGGAGAGTCACGCAAGAAGCAATTTTTCTCCGCATTTGCGACAGTGTGACCCTTGCCAATCAAAATCGGGTGCCAAGTTGGACATCCCATCAGGGCACGAATGATGTCAGGTCAGGTCCCAGCAGTTGACAGCAAGGTCCGATATTCAGTGCGCTCCGGTAGTTCGTCGCTTTCAGAATTAGTTGAAGTTTACTCCGTCTGTAGGACAAGAGGTAATAATTGCTCGAACTCGATGATGTTGGAGGCCTAATAGCAAGTCCAATCCCCAAATTCCAGTTTGGGCCTTGTAGGATCTGAACGGGGTTGTGCCTGAGTGCAACGAAGGCCATCGTGCCACTGTTCCCCAACATGACAACATGAGGCGCGTCCCACCACATGCTGGAACTAGGAACAAGCTTTGAAAAAAGGTTCAAATTTTGTTCTGATCCTGCCAAGCAATAACGTTCCATCGGCGAATCCGGCAGCAGTTGGAACTTGTTAGTTTAGTTACTAGTTAGGGGGAACTTGCGAAGTCTTCAACCGTAGGACGATCGGCAGCGCCTTGTGGGGCCTGGGGTTAGGCGAATGGCAGCGAAATTGTCTGGAGAAAGGATCTCAGAGGAGGAATGAAACAAGCCACAAGGAAACAGCAATTCTGTTTGGCTTCCATACGGGCTGTTTTGTAGATCGTTATGACTTTTTGTGTTCCTTTTTATCAGCCTCAAGAAACTACCACAAGATCGCCTTTCATATAACTACTAGCTTCGATGAGTTCCTGCGTATCTGGTCGAGGAGGGATTGGGGTGTATCGATATAGAAAAAAAAAGAAGAATAGCCCATACAAGTTCAATGGTCTGGTCTAGGAATCAACCAGTCCTGGGTGAAGAACATACGCAGCGTAGCGTGTCCCAACTTCCAAGAGCGGGGGATTATTGCAATCCCCATCCCTATCCTTACCCACCCCTCTTCCTCCCTTGATACGCCAACATTTAACATTATTTCTGATAATGCCGTGTTAAACCGGGCACCACACCTCGGCGCGGAAATTGGGGTCAAGAAGAAGCCCTGCTAATAACCAGCCAGCCGTGGTGGAACTCAACGGGTCGGATACAGAGGAGGTAGACTCTCCCCTTTTCGGGATAGCACAGTGGACAACCTCTAACCTCTCACGATGGTAATTTGTGATAGACAAGCGGGCGACTACCGCAATCCCGCGCAATCCATGAGGGTTTTGGCGTCACGGTTCTCAGCACAGCCCATTGGGGAGTTGGGCACGATGTTCAGGGACAGAGGCAAAAAGGACGAATCCTGGGCGAGATGGAAGCGGACGGATAAACGAGCCACCTGCTGCATCCTCTCTTATTGCCCGCTTTGGGTGCTCGAATTCAAGCAATGTAACGATATCTATGCCGGAGTGCCAAAAAAAATTATAAAAAATATAAAAAAAAAAAAAAAAAAAAAACCAAGGGAACTTGCTGCCGGGCGGATTTCTTCGGCGCTGGGTTGGGTTGGCGGCCTGCTTTCTTCAGTGAGCGAACTGCCCCTGGCTAGTCTTAGTATATACGACGGTGTGGCGGAAATCCGAGCGACTTGGCTGGTCGCGTGGCCCATGTGATAATAGTCGATGAGAGCAAACAAACTATCCAAGGCGAGTGGGATAGAGCATCAAGATACCATATTTACCTCGAACGGCCTCGGGAACTCTCAGACATGCGGAGATACTACCACATTGGTGCTCCCATGATTCCTTGCTTGCACAGCATAAACCATACTAGAACATCCGGTGTTGCATCTGCATATTCTCTCCACCCTTGACAGCGGCAGCATAAAAGAAGGCTATTTTTTGACAGCAGTTCTAGAACATCGAAGCGCGGAAAGGAAGCGGGAAAAAACACACAAGCAAAACATAAATAATATGGGGGCATCGATCTAACTTACCACTTCGTTAGTTAGAATGTCAACCTCGAAGGATTTTCCAAACCCCACAGACTCTCTCTCGGCTGTGGAGTGCGTGCGGGGAGAAGAAATTGGCCATACTGTATACAATATGCCCTCCCCTGCAGACTGCAAGTCAACATGCAGGAAACGGAACATACATATAGTAGAGCGGGAATATACGCTGCAATAGATTATAGATCATTCCAGAGTGGAGCCGAGCAAATAGGAACACATCTACTCCGTACTTCGCATTGCAAGCGAGGCAATAGAGGAGTGAATTATGGGGTATGTACGGAGTACAGTACATGTTTTGGTCTAGATTTCCCAACATTGGCACTGTAAATTGCGGCAGGATATATCCTTAGTACGATGGTAGTTGGTACAGGAGGGTCAAAAAAAGAGGGAGTATGTCTACAATATCATTCCTGTACCATTATAATTTGCTTGACAAAGGATACAAAAATAATAAAAAATAATAAAAAAAATAGATCTAATCTTTACATATCCCGCTAAGCAGATAAAGAGGATAAAAGATGTATAAACAGGAAAAGAGGGCGAAAAAAAGAAAGAAAAGAAATCTATCTATCTATCGGCAAAGCCTTATTTTCTCGCGTACATTTCAACTCCAATTCTTAATACTCCCGAAAATCCAACACAAAGTACTCCGTAGAGGCAATGACGAAGAGAAACGGGCGGGGACACCAGCCAAGGTTTAACCCCCTCCAGCAGATGGAATTATTTTAGCGGATCTTAAACAAGAAATCTCGTCTCTTCTACTCTCTACCCTTCTTCTCATTACTGCTCTTTTCTATCCACAAACATGGGTGTATTTCCGGGGTTTGCGAAAAGTTCTGACAGGGCTGCGGCAACAGCCCAGCCGTAGGAATAATGTTTACCGAAACGGGATGCAAGTATGTGGCAAGCTCAAAGGAGTTGGGGGGGGGCGGGCGCGGGGGAGTAATAGTTCCAGCAAAGTCTACAGCATAAGCGGGGGTGCGCGGGCGCGACCGATGAAACGGCTGTCTAATTTCGTGGCGTTTTCGCAAGGGGCTTGATGGAGACGGAACGGCGCGCGGATGAGGGTAAAAATAAAAAAAAATGAAAAAATGAAAACCTTTCCGTGAAGCACTCGAAGAGAGTAGGTTAAAGAGGGAAGGAGGATTAGAACGCCTCTGTGTCGGCTTTGGTTCGTTCGGCCATACCATGCATATGGCTATCGACGGAATGTGTGGTAACTTGATGAAATATGGAAAAACGGCCCTTGGGTGTAGCGGAGCGCATCGCACGGAAGGCGAATGCAATAGTTTTCTATCAAGATATTTCTGCTGTTTCCACTTTTTCAGATCCACCAGCAGCAGCAGCAGGAGGTTCACCAGCCTCATCGTTCTTTTCCTCCTTAAGCTTCGCAATCACCATCTCTTCCACAACCTTCAATCCAGCCTCCTCGCTCTTCCTCGCCGACGCAGCCCCCCCATCATCCTCTCCAGAAACTCGCTGATCAAGCGCCAGCTTCGTCTGTCCCAGCGCATACATCTGCTCCTCAATCGTATCCCTGGTGACAAGCCGCACAACTTCAACCGCGCGCGTCTGGCCCACCCGATGCGCGCGGTTCTCCGCCTGCACGTCCTCCTGCGGATTAAAGCTAGAGTCGAAGATGATAACTTTATTCGCGCACGCGAGGTTAATACCCGCGCCGCCAGCTTTGGTTGACAGGAGGAAGACGGGGATGTCGACTTGTTCGTGGAAGGCGTCAAGGGTGGACTGGCGATCTTCCACGCTGGTGCTGCCATCAAGGCGGAAGAAGCGCATTTGCAGCGTTTGTAAGACGTGCTCGAGGATGTCCATGACCATGGTGAATTGGGAGAAGACGAGAGTGCGGTCGCCGTTCTCCTTGAAGCGGGTTAATAACTCGCAGAGCTTGTCCACCTTGCCAGAGTGCATCCATTCGTCGTTTTTAAGTATGAATCTGGACAGGGCGGTTGGGTTTTGTTCGCAGAGGGTATGGACTTCGAAATCGTTGTAGGCACATAGTTCAAGGTAGATTTGGTCCGGGTCCGATGCAGCCCATTTTTCGTCTTTTATGCATGCTTTGGCGATACGGCTGAGCGTCTTGTCGTCGTAGTGACGTCGGTAGAACAAGGGATGGATGGCGGCCTGGCGTAGTTTCATGAGGATGTTGGCAGACTTGTTGCCCACCTTTTTCCCCGCGGCTCGATCTGCAATTAATTGTCGTACGGTCTCGACTTCGTGAGTATATATTTCTTTCTGTGCCTCATTCATCTCGCAATATTCCACGCTGGTGAGTTTAGGCGGCAGATCGATCACTTGATGCTTCTTCCTCCGCAGCACGAAGGGGGTGAGCATGGATTTTGCTCGAGCAATGCGTTGCGCGGATAGTAACGCCGCATGTGTGTCGTCGACAGTCTTGGCTTTGGCGCTGAAGATGTACTCAAGATCCTCCTTTCTCTCTCTAAAGACTGAAGGTAGGATAAACCCAAGCAGTGAAGCTAACTCCTGCAGGTTGTTCTGAAGGGGAGTACCGGTAAGTAATAGCCGGAACTGGGCCGGAATGCGGATTAGTTTGTCGTAGAGCACGGATTTGCTGCTCTTTAACATATGGCCCTCGTCGTATACACAAACACAAAAGTCCATGGAGCGAAGGAAGGCGGCATCTATTTTGGCCTTTGCAATTGTGTAAGTCGTGACGACGACATTGATGCAGTCCCTCGTGTCTTCAATTTGCTGCCGAATCTCAGCTCGAACTTTCTGGTTAGCGTAATAAGGCATGACGTTTAGTTTTGGGCAGAACACGGAGAATTCACGGAGCCAATTCTCCAGAGTCGAAGAGGGAACTACCACTAGGTGCGGCCCCTTGACTCCTTTCTCGAAGAGATGGGCAAGAAAAGCGATGACTTGGCAGGTTTTCCCCAAACCCATATCATCTGCAAGGATACAGCTCAAATTCTGCTCGAAGAGAAGATTGAGCCAGTTGATCCCAACAATCTGGTAATTCTTCATCGTGATCGATTCGCTCATTATTGCTGGCTGGCCAATATACTGCTGTTTCTTGCGCGAGTTATTGTTGGGTTTGAGTTCGTCATCGTCGACGCTCAGGGAACAGCCGCTGGAAGGAGTGCCAATTCCAGAATCATGGGTCCCATCTGACGTGTTCTTGGTATCCAAAGAAGTAATTTCAAGCTCGCCTTGTGTCTTTGTGCCGAAAATGTCCACGCCCCATCGTTTCATTTCGTTTGCAACTGGCTTTCCAAGTGCTTCGCATTTAGAAACAAGAACATCCACAGCTTCATAACCCGTCCACATGTCAAGACACTTGTCGACAACTTTGTCCCCAATCGGCTTCTTAGCATACTTTTTCGACTTGTCCTTTGAAGTCTTTCCAATCGAATCGTCCTCCTGGGTGATTTGACGAACCGCGTTCAAAGATTTGAACGGACGTTTTGAGATAATAGTGTTGGCAATATTTTCCCGGATTTCAGCGATGTCGGATAGATCTGCCACGGAACATGAATTGAAAAATTTAAGGACTTTTGATTCCAGAATACTATCGTCTTCGGAATCTTCATGGTTATCGGACTCAGACGAGTCTATCTCAACTATAGGTATCTCTGGAGATTCTGATCGTGGTCTAGATTTCCTGCCTTTAATAAGCCTTCCAGGCTTCTTGGAGACTCTGGCAGGAGCAGGAGATGCCCTGGATGGGGGAGATGAAGTACGCATTCTTTGACCCCTGATCAACCGCTTACGGGGTGCTGAGGCATCTCTATCAGACCCACTCTTTTGGGTTGGAAGTCTCTGGCTTGAAGTCCACTTATCCTGGATGCGTGTTCTCGCCTTAATCTGTTGTTTCGCTGGCTCCACGTGGGGTGTATGGCGGTCCAGACTTAGCTCGTCGTCAGAGATGGGGTCCGTGGGTAGATAATCCTCTATGCTTGCTAGATGTTCCAGGGCATTTTCGTAGTTACCTCTCTTGGATACAAGGGTGTTGAGGATGAGCTGGATGGACTTGCCCGGCAAGACATTGAGTATGCGCTGGACTTTAATTCTAGTCTGGTAATCTTCAATATCATCCAATGTAAAAGTATCTTCCTGCCGCGATCGCTTAGCGACCCTGATCTATAGTCAGGCGCAGAGGACATTCTGTCCGCTGAGCGTTTTCCAGACACATTTTCTATTATTGTCATTTGCAGATGGTTGTAGAAGGCGGATGCGGTAATTTCCTTGACCGGAGTCGCAGCATCGTTCACAGCAGCTG